TTTTAACAGTTTATTACAATTTTATTGGTCGATAAACGTGGGTTTGTTAACATTAAACGTGGTTTTTTTAACAGTTTATTACAATTTTATTGGTCGATAAACGTGGGTTTGTTAACATTAAACGTGGTTTTTTTAACAGTTTATTACAATTTTATTGGTCGATAAACGTGGGTTTGTTAACATTAAACGTGGGTTTGTTAACATTAAACGTGGGTTTTTTAACAGTTTATTACAATTTTATTGGTCGATAAAATTGGAATTTACTAATTAAAATCCAGTCTTATCCGCTGAGAAGTATTGTGTTAAAAACCAAATGTTTAAATTTTTTTCTAATATATTCTAATAATCATTATTTTAAACCGATTTTTTTTCGAATAAGAATTTTTGTTTGAGCTATTTTGCGTCATCAAAAGGAAAAGATGGGGAGATCGTATCGTTAGAATGATAATCTGAAAACAAAACAACTAAACCAAAACTTCAACTATTTGTTCTGGAAAACATTAAATTTTACTTCGAAATAATTTCTCTGTTAGACCTAATAATAGAATAACTTAAACTTTACTATCCATTTACTTTACTTTTGTTATAACGATTGTTTTGTTGTTGTTTTTATAGAACACTGTAGCTCTGCCCACTGTAGCGAATCGAACCACGGATCTTAACGCTGTAAATTTACGACTGTCCCACCCGAAACTCTTATAATCATTAACTGCACATCATCAAACTAAAATCATTAGGTTCTAAAATTGAAAATTAAGTTCATTCCACTTTTAAAACAGAGTAAAAACAATATTAATTAACAAGAAAACAAAAGGTTCCATGATAACCACGTTTACAACAAAATCATTGAAATAACAACAAAAAAACTGTGAAAGAAAACGTTTCTTTTTGTGTTGTTTTGAAAGAATTGTTTGAAACATCATTAAGTATAAGTAACATTATTTTGGCTCTCATTCCTAACTTATTACGTCCGTAATGATTGGAATTAATCTGTATTGAATTATGAGGGTTATTATTAATAATTAATAATTGTTATTAACTCAGACAATATTCTAT